TGTGTGTGTGTGTGTGTGTGTGTGTGTGTGTGTGTGTGTGTATATATATATATATATATATATATATATATATTTGTAAAGACAAACACTTATATTGGTTGTACATGTGGTGCGCGCGTAAATAATTTTACAAAGGATCACTATAAAAGTGTATTGAGATTCTTTGATGGTGGATCTGGGTAAGAATAGTCCGTATATAGGGTATCGCACAAGATACACTAAGTACACGGAGCCTTGATAAAGTTAACAACACTCTAGAATGCTAGGCCAAAATTTCATGTACATACCTCGGGACTCTTCTCTGCTGGCTGCTTGCCCTTCGATACGCTACTGGCCGCCATCTTCATAATGTATTTGTGGGAGCCCCTTGTCGATTAAACCGTGCTTCAGAACCAATAAAAGAAAATTAAATATGTACTACTTCATAGTAGACTTGCACTGGACATGCTATATGTTAGATAATTTAGATAGGTGTTGGTTTGTATTTCGTTGTACTATGAAGACATATCATACTACTCTCACTCTAGAAATATATATCGGTTCCTACTTCGTAGTACTATGAAGCTATATCATATTCTACTACTCTCTAGTACAGGTATTCGCTTGTTTGACGATTTGATTTATATCTGATGGCTGCTTTAATCGTCATATTTGTTTATTTCATACAGTCGGAAAAGCCACCAGTTGGCTTTTTCCTCCAAAAAAAAATAGATTTTCACAAACGTCGAAGGGGCGCCTGAGCCTCTGAGGGTTGAAGCCCTGAGCCGGAGCGGCACTGTCCTAGATACATAAACACGATAAATTCATAGCCTTCTAATAAAATCTCGCATATTTGTTTCCTTTGGTTAGCGGTTTAACGTATATTTATATCGCCTCATCAATATCAGCTGGTTCAAGTAGAACGTAAACGTGTTTTTTGGGGTGTATCAACGGCTTAGCGTTTTTCTGACCTGTATTCCTGGCGGTTCATTTGTAAAAGTTGAAAGTAAACAACGAGCATGAGCATGGCCCTCTCAATGAACAATGAGACTAGTGACGATTCACTCTCTCTCTAGAGTAGCGAGTCCCTACTAGTTGTACATAGAGAGAAAGAGATATAGGACAGGCTAGTCCCGCAATCTTCTTTTTCAGAATTGAAACAAAGGTAGAGTCCCCCATGTTGTAAGAAAGAAAGAAAAAAATCTAAAAACACTATGTGTGAGGTGTACTTGGAAAATGTGAATGTGAGCTGATATACACATCTCTAAAACGCTTATATACTATAAAAAAAAAGCATTCTGTTAGGGGGGTGGCCACGAAACACGCCTTTTCGGTGACCCTTCCACACAAAAAAAACCCCTAAACCCTAAAAATTAAAAAAATTATCCGCAAGATGGCACTTACTATCATCATCGACCACGAGGCGTGCACGCTACCGATGGCTCAAGTGTACAAGTATCCCACGCTTGTCGACATGCTGACTGCGAGCAACCTGGATTTTATTACTGATCTGGAACTGGACTTGTCCGAAACCCCCGTGCGACTGGTTGATTTGACGGGCGAAAGCACCTTCACCGAGGCCAACATTATAGCCCGAGACTACCTGGGCTGCAGGACGGTTGTCGACATTGTCGTCTTCGCATCCATCTGGGTTGTGCAGCCCGAAAGGAATTGCAAGCTCCCCAATCTTCCCGCTGAACTCTTGAACGTGTTTCTGGAAAATATTCCATGAAATTGCACCTGGTGGGCGATGCACATGGACAGGTGCGGATTGCCAAGGTCTTGCCCGGTTCATACGCTAGACTCGGCCGGGGTGCTGGCGTGGCTCGAAATACACTGTGTGAACTGCTGTCAGACGCTCCTGACCAACTCGCCCGCCACCATGTGGTTCGTAGACTCACGTCTCAAGTACTGCTGCACACTTCGATCAGAGTGCAAGCCGCACCTGCGCGCCGCAATGCAGGAGTTTTACGACCTGCCCGAGGGATTGAATGAACAGACCGTCTTGTGGGAGGATGTGGTTGGTATACTGCCTCAACCTGTGGACCTTGCGGACGTGCCGACATTCACAACCCTGTTCGACAAAGGTGCACGGGGCTACCGGTCCATCGGCGTCACAAGGCGGTACAACATGCGCAATATTCTCGAGAGATACTTGCAGCAGTACGGCGACTGGGAGTACGCACGTGGGGCTACGCAAGTGCTGCACATGCAGTCTGTGCAACCGCAGCAGCATGTCCAGTACATCCGCGATAAACGCACCAGGAAGGAACTGTTTGTACTCAAAATCCTTAAGGTTAATTCGAACCCTGAATCTGCCACCTTGGACACGGACCAACTCAAAAAGCTGACTATTGCTCAGCGCGACGCGCTACTAGTCGCCGAGTGGCTTGAGATTCCCCTTGACCACCTCTTCCTGAAGGAATTTAGGGAAAGGGGAACGGTGTCTCCCCGTCGCAGCACGGACAATGCCATCGCGGGATGGTACGGCTGAGAGTCGAGTTCCCCGACCTGGAAATGTCAACCGTCGCCTACGGCGAGTACCAGAAATACGTTGACGCGATCGGCTGTCGACTCGTCGACTTGGCGGTGCTTTTACGTCCAAAAGGTCGATCTGGCTATCACGACAGCCCCGTTGGCGCGAACTCGTACCCGCGGCTGTGGTGGGTGCATTTGTACGACTGGAAATTATCCTGGACTTTGACGGTCTAGCGGATCGCCGTGCGAGGTTGGGATTGGTCGAAGGCGAGGCCGGTCCCACGAAACTGTGGCCGTTCGTGTACGAGAACGACGCCCACGAAATCGATAAGCTGCTGAGTGCCCTCGGACTTATCCGGCGTGCCCAGCTGATCAAGTGCGAGTGCACGGATGGTCACTTTGACGCAGCGATTTCCCTGGTGGGTGTTTTGGGATGTGACGCACACACCACCGCGAATGTCGCGGAACCACCGGTGCTGCGCCTGCTACTCGCCAGCGCCAACACCGTGTGGCCACCGGACCTGGTGGTCCGGTTGGGTGCCTTGCAACACTGGCCCTTTGTGTTTGTTGAGGAGTTCTGCATCACGTCCCCCACCAGCACACTGGACGTTTTGGGTGAATGAACGGGGCTGCGCACGCTGGCAGAGTCCCAGGTTATCGTGCTAGAAACGCCCGATAGTGTTAGGTTGTATGCGGCAGTGTACACGGATCCAAACTTTCAGTTTGCACTCGACAAGATCATCGATGTGGTTCGCGACTACATTGTGGGGGCGGTCGAAGGGCTCTATTTGTCGGGAAATGTGGAAAGGTACGAGCTTGCGTGTGCGGATCAGGCGTACATGGGGTTAACTGACGCGGATGTGATCCAGTGCGTGACACACCCGTGGGGCAGTGCGGAGGATGCGCTGGCCATCCGTGACGCGGACGTTCCGTATGAACTTCGCCGGAGTATGTATCTGACGAGCAGCGCCAGTGTGCCACTTCAAATATTTCGGCTGCAACGCGCACAGCACAAGCTGGGGCTGGCGCCTACCTGTGGCAACTTTTGTTTCTGGGTGCTCGGAATCGAGAACTTGGATGTGATACTAGCGGAAGATTGCAAGAGCAAGTTTTTGGACGAATACACGGACTACCAGCTGCAGTTGCAGGACGCGCTGTACGATAACCGAGATGCGGACGTCAACGCGTTGGGCGCAGTGATCAAGCAGCGCGTATTGGAAGACATTGATGGATATCTACCGCAGTGGCCGTGGCTTGCATCGAAATAAACAAACCAAACCAAAAACTCGCTTCCGCGGGGCTGTGTTATAGGGAACGCAGAGCACAAAAACAGCCACCGAGACATTGTGGTGAATGGACAGGGCTGATGTATGGGCTCAGTAGTTGTTGACTGCCAGGTGGTCCCTCGTTCGCGAGACCCGTCAACTTGTCACAGAAGATCAAGGACCACGCTCGTGATGAAATCAGCGGATTTTCTTGATACCACCCCTCTCATAGGGTGTTCTCCAGTCAACAGCATATTCGGGGCCTGTGGCATGATATTTAAATTGTGAGCATGCACTGGTGACATTCTTTTCGTATATGTGTTCATAAATATTGATTATTTGTTAGAACATAGAAGCTATGTTATAACGACGATATACTTATGACTTATGACCTAAGTGTTACGTATGAGATGAGCGTGGTGTGGTGTCTTCATGAGCATACTCGAGATGGGCACGCTTTTCGTGACTCCGTCACAGCGCTTTACATGTTCCGCCTATCACCCAATAGTGTTTCGCATGCTCTGCCTTCTACGTGATAATGTTGTACATGTGCCGCCTTCTACGTAGTAATGCTACACATTGTCTTGTATGGTGCGAAATAATATTGTCCAACTCAACACCACTCAGGCCGACTATGCAACACGCTTGAGGCTGCGGTTGTTCACCGACTCTCAAGTGTTCATGCAAAGTTCAATGCGGCGTATCCTCAGGGTTGCTCGCCTCTGAGTATGAGTAAACAGGGTGCTCGCCTGTACTCTCAGCATCTAAATAAACATATTGTCTATTCTGTCGACTGGGTGCCACAACTCACTCGTAAAGCTGTGGTTGCTCACCGACTCTAAAGTGCTTACGCAAAGTTTAATGCGCAGTGTCCTCAGGGTTGCTCGCCTCTGAGTTAGAATAAACTGGTTACTCGCCTGCACTCTAAGCATATAGATATATCTGCCATCACAACCAACGCTCGTGTTTTAGCGAAGCCTGGCGTCGTGTGTTCGTTTTTCTATTTCAGTTTTCTCGATCGTGCATATATAGCAATATGCTAGCGTCTGCATTGCTTCGCGTTGTATATGTGCTGTCCTGACGTATTGCATAATACAATACAATATTGGAACGGACCTGGAGTTTAGATTTGTTTTTCAAAAACAAAAAAATTTCTCAGTGGGGAGTTTGGGGACCCACAGCCCCACGACCCACAGACCACAGTCCCACGACCCACAGACCACAGTCCCACGACCCACAGACCACAGTCCCACGACCCACAGACCACAGTCCCACGACCCACAGACCACAGTCCCACGACCCACAGACCACAGTCCCACAGCCTCCGAAAAAATGTCGGGCCAGGCTGAATCCCCAACTAAAGCGTTCGTCCCCAACGACTCCTTGCACAATGACCAATGGAAATTGTATTTACAAAAATCTATCACAGACCTCGCTGCCCAGGTCAATACTCTACAGGCTAACAACCTATTGTCGGGACCGGCCCTACCAACCCTGGACAATATTGGGCCCATCTCCAAAGAGCCTCTGGCTGACGACCAATGGAAATTAACCTTGCACCAAATACTCACTGAACTCTGTGCCAAAGTGAACAACCTCGAATCCGAACTCCGAGACCTTAAATCCTAAACACCTCTAAATGAAGGCACACCCAACACCTTCCGGTTTGGCTCCACAAGCCCGCCCGGATTCTCGACCGTATCTGGCGCTATGCCGCTAACCCACAAATCTTTGGGGGATTCTACTACAAAATAAATAGACCTTAGGTACAACGGCTGCCAAACCACTCGTTCCGCCCACGTCTGATCGCCCAAAGCAATACCCAAATGTTCCAAGATATTGCGTACCAACGACGATCTCCACGCCAACCCTACATACCGGGTGCCGACGACACAGGCGCCACTCTCACTGGCTACTTTGAGAACCTATTCAACTCCACGAATCCATACGTTGTTCCACCGGATACCGAACCCTCCCCAGATGTAACTCCCGCCATACGCCCCGACGATTTAATGCAGGCTATACTACGCTATCCTAATAAGGGGACTGGCCCCGACGGAATCCACATCCTCCTTCTGAAGGCCGCAGTGGAGCGTTCCACCAAACACAGGACACTAGGACGCCCGGACGCCAATAACCCACTGATTAGACTCCTTGCCAAAGAATTCATTGAGCTGCTAAAGGAGGGTACCTTCCCTACCGTCCCGAACTGCACCCTCATGACAGCGCAACCAAAAAAGGCCGATGCAGATATCACCTCTTTCGCCGACTTCCACCCTATCACGCTAACGCAAATAGTCAGACGCATATTTGAGAAGTTTTTCCTCAAGCTGAATACTAGCCACCTCGGCTCTGCAACCCACGCAACCCAAGCTGGCTTCAAATCGCAATACTCCTGCCATACCCAAGCACTGGGACGACGTCTGTCTGGACATTACCAAGACATACAACAAGGTTGCTCTCCCGCGCCTGTGGGTACTCTTGCGTCACGTTAGAATGCCCGAAAACTGGATCAACTGCCTCCGCGCGCTATTTGAGAGGGTTCCTACCCGAGTAACATACCGCTGCATGCTCTCGCATCTATTTCATAGAACAAATAGCATCCTACAAGGCTCAATCGTTGGCCCCCGGCTCTTTATTATCTACATGGATTCTTTGGCTGTCACACTAGCACAACTCCGGCCCGAGCTCCTCCGCTTTTATTTATTTGTCGACGACACCCGGATCCAAGTTCCCCAACCGGTTCCGCTCCAGCCCTTTTTGAATCTGGCCTCAAACAGGGTGTCATCAAACCCCGAGTACGATCTACCAACTTGCGACACGCGGCGCCAACCCTCCGTATAAATGGTGATCTTATTACGCCGACGCTTGCAGATGCCCTTTGTAACACATGTCACTTACCCTTGAAGATGGCTCCCACACATGCCAAGTCTAAACTCTCCAAATACCTGGGTTTCCCACTCTCCAACGGAGTACCAGGGATAAATCTCGCCAGACATATGAAATTCCTGGGTACATCATTGTCTCTGGGTATCGTCTCCTTCCGCGCTTATGGTTTCCATGGCTTCAGCTGGCGACACCCCCGCAACAGATGTGAACATTATTGCCTTGGCTTCACCTATATTGAAGGATGCGCTGGACCCCTTGTTTGAGCGCTATAACTCAGCAATCAATCGAGCAGCAGTCAAATACCCTAGGTTTCCCAAACATCAAACCAACTTACTCCATTTTTGTGGCCTGCTCCCCACGCGAGCATTCGCGGACTACCTCGGAGGTTGCCTGGGACTGCAACTCGACTCAATTGTCAGCACAAACCCACTCACCCCTCTAACGCAACCCGCCTGGGCCCACGACAAACCCTCACTGCGCTTCCCGTACAGTATCTATGCCCACTTGAAGACTGTATACAAAACCACGGACGGGCGTACACCAGACCATGTAGCCCTCCGTCGACGATGTGACGACATTAGAAAGAATTCAACGAAATGCTGGTCCAACAATAATATCGCGGCAATGGCCCGGCGTCAATACTACTACCAATTGGTCATGGGCAAACCGCCAACCTCAGATCGGGACAAAGCCAAACACGACAGCTTCAACCGCTGCTTCGAGCCTACACCAATCCGGCTCTGTGCTATGATTGTAACAAATACGTACATGTTCACATTGCTCGACTACCGCACTGACGGCTGTCTCTGCCCTGTCTGCCCCGATGGCCAAAAAATCACCACCAGCCACTTTGCCTGCATCCAGCAACTAATCCAATGCATCCTGGTAGGCCCAAAACTGCCTCTCATTGGCCCTGATCTCCTCCAGCAACTGCAGGTGCCCCACGACTTACATGGTATCTGGACCCTCCACGAACACCTTGGATCTTTTCTCCAGCATGTGGAACAACCCCTGTACCCACACCCGTCTCTGACATATCAACAGATGCTTCCTATACGCTGTTGAAGTAATACTTCCAAATTTCGGTCCAAACCAATTCATCGCGTCTGTTGGTTCCGTCTACGATACTTCCAATACAGGCAAACCAGCACATACCGAGTACATCTGTGGTCTGGTGCGGCATCGGTTCACCCCCAACCTCGCTCCTCAACCAAATTATGACGGATAACCTGGTCCTGCTTGACATTTCGTACTCTGCACTAACCCATTCCACAGCACTACACGATAAAGACCCGATCCGAACCACAGAGGTGGGTACACTATTTAGTAGGTCAGAGAGCGAATACGTGGCACACTCGATGGTGTCAGTTTTTTGTCAGCACCGGCCTGAACTGACCCAGCGCATATCCTCCATTGTCGACTCACTTGGTCCAAGCTTCAACAGGGAATTTACTGACCACTTCTTCCCATCGATCTTCCCCGAACCACTACAACGGATATGAGAGCCATACCATATGTACAAACATTATAACTTAACTCCTTTGAAATAAATAATATTATCCCTATGAGAAAGTCGGATATATTTCGCGCGTAGATGATGACTCTGATTCCCCCGACTATGAATCACGTAAGGGCCAATCAACGGTTTTATGGCTTTGGTCGTTGCTCCCTGTGCGAGTATCACAACTACGTCCCCAGTCTTAAATTTAATCGGATCAAACTTACGCATCTGATCGGTAGCCTCCGCCAGGGCATCGGCATACCGAATTGGTTTCTGATGAAGTTTTGGTAGAATAGTCTTCTCTAGTTTATCCAACCGCTTCAGCCATCCATCATTCGTCGTAGGAATATATCCAGGTAAGTTATCAGTCATGATTGCAAGCGGAACATGGCAGCAACTAAAATAAATACTGAATTGTGCTGACTTTTGACGCCGTGATATCCTGAGATTCTGGTAGAACATAGGGATAATATTATTTGTTTCAAAGAAGATAAGTTACAATGTATGTACATATGGTATGGTTCTTGAACGGTAGACGCTCATCACACAATTCCGGACAGCCAACACATAATGCGCGCACACATTTGTGAATCTCTTTATGCCGTCGCTCTGCCGCACAGAATTTCTGAGGGCGATACGGTTGAGACGTCTTGTGTATGATCCCGAGTGCTCGCGTAATAGATTTCACGACATCATTCACAAATTGGGTAACTTCGTCATTCTGTATCTTACGAGGAAATGCATGCACACCAAACACCGATACGAACTCTGTCGCCAACGTCTTTTCATCCTCCGCAGGTATCGCCCACAAATTAGAGTTCCCCGACGCCACATCCAAGACATGTGAAATAAATATGTTGCCTATAGTAGATGTTACCGGCATAGGAAGGATATCCATTTGTATGTGATCCCATGGGTACCGTGCGCTAATACTCCTTACAGGATGAAATATCTTCTTCGTTGTATCATTGCCCCAGCACGTACGACATAATTTACGGACCACTTCCGTTATTGGAAGCATTTGGTCCCAAATATGCCCATCATCCTGCATCTGTTGTGCCGTGACTGCCGGCGCCGGATGTCCTTGTTCGTGGAATTGACATGTCAACTGTACACGACGAATAGCTTCCTCATGTCCTGGATGATTAATGACCGTAGCACCCGCATATATTTCAGGACTTTGTTCGGCGATCCGCGTCTGTTTCGTCATCGTTGGCTGTGCTCACTTTTCTTGATAACGTGTTCTAGCGTTTTCACATACAGGTGCCTCCAGACCTAGATCACACCAAACCGACAGATTAACGGTCCAATACGTACCACGATTGAATGATCCTACGGGTACTTACCACAAGCCTGCGAGCCGTGTTTTAAGAACTTGTGAACCGTGCGCGGAATAAGTAGCGTCAGAAACCACGGTGCTAGTGTGTTCAACGGTAAACATATTGTTGCAGACGCCCTGTCATCCAGCACCTTACGCAAAACCTTTGTTTTTTTTAAACGCCCCTCCAGCCTTGTCGTACGACCAGTACTGTCGGAGTTGAGCGTTGTGACTCGATGCAAAGGCGTCTACATCGATAAGCCCAAAATATTCCTGGGCCTGGTCAAAGAAATCCAGATACAGTTTCAAGCATGATGTATAGAAAACAGCGGGGTAGTTGATATCCGCCGTTCCCTCATGAACACGACCCCGCATGTCTGGGTCCTTGTGTAATAGGATGTGGTGCCACCGCTACATCATACTATTCAATTTCAGCTGAGTGTTCATGTATATGGGAGCCTTATGATCTGTGTGGACGGTAAACCGCTGTCCGATGCGATGGTCATGAAAGTGAACCAGAGCATGGGTATGTGCTAACAGAACCTTCATAGATGTTGCATACGTTTGCCGTGCCTTGTTGAGAGTCTTTGAGAAGAGCATCAAGTAATGTTTGCGTCCGTCACTCATTTGAAACAATGCTCCGCCAATAGCATAATCGTTAGCGTCCGTTTCCAATTCAAGTGATATACCATCAACTGGAAAGTTCAACCGGACTGCCGACTCGATAGTCTCCTTCATTTGATCCCATGCCAATTGATGTTCTGGTTTCCAACGATCCCTAATGGGTTTCTTTGGCTTAAGCTTAAAAAACGTTCGCAGTGGAGCCACTTTATATGCAAAGCTAGATAGATGCTCGTGTAAACAATTTGCTAACCCAACCGCAGATGCGATATCCCTTTGACTCCGTGGAATTGGCCAGTCAATTAATCGTTGCTGTTTCTCATGATCCACGTCAATCTCTTTAGCAGATATCTTCTTTCCCAAGATCATCACCTCTCGCACAAAAAAGTGACATTTCTTCTGATAACGTTTTTGAAGTTATTCTCCGTCAGGTATCGAATGACCTCTTAGACCGTAGCGATGTGCTCCTCGTAGTCAGACACAATTATCAGATTATCGACATAGCATTGCACGTTCAGTCTCGCCATCAAATTGCTGATGGTACGCTGATGTGAGCGCTGTCAACTCGAATGACGCCGACGTAAACGAGTATTGCTGACTATCCCATGCAAACGAAAATTTGTGCTGCGAGTCCACGTGTACCTGTAAACGATGGTATGCGGCCGATGAATCTAACGTTGTATAGGAACGCTTGCCCCTCAAGTTGCTGATAATCTCATTAACCTTCGGGAGCATAAACTGGTCTCCTGAAATAAGAGCGTTAATCTGTCGTGAGTCCAATCACACAAACTTTGATAAGTTCTCCGGATGGTGTAAAGACCGCCAACAATGGAAGGTTGACAATCGACGCGGATGTTCGACGATTGGTGACCAACTCGTGTTCCCATTTGCGTTTTTGCTTCGTTACATGTGGTTTGTACTAGCCTGATACAAAGCTCCTTGTCTGCCTACGTAAGCCCAGCAATTGATCTCGAGGTATATGTAGTGACACTTCACTACCCGGTAATGTACAGCGAGCCGCATCTAAAATTGTTTCATTAGCGTCCAGATATTGTCGTAAACATTGTCGTATGTCAGCTGGCTCGGACAAGTCTGGGACCATTCGAAGATTGATCGGTTCGAGCAGTTCATCCATAACATTACGATTAACCTCCGGGAAGGGAGATACTAATCCAGTTAAATCTAATCCCAGCTCACCCAGAATACCCATACCCAGTAATATATTAATGTCATCTGATAGGTTCATAAGTTCAAATGTACAACCCTCAGTGTTAGTTGACCCGTATTGTGCCTTCGTTGATCGTGTCTTACCCAAACGTGGAGTCCGGAAGGTTTTGTCCGCCAAATAAATGTAGCTGTCCTTAACCGGTGGTGTGACAGATAACTGTGCCTTAGCTGCGGATGCCTAAGTGATGATCGAGCGGCTCGCCTCGGTGTCAATAAGGGTGCGCATGTCATGGCCTTCACTTGTAAAATAACATATACACGGTTGTCGGCAGGAATAATTTATCTTCTACTGGAAATATTCTTTTTACCATACGACCAAAGGACATGCACATGTTCACATCAGGCACCCCAGCCTTTCATTCCGAATCTGTTCCAGCTTCCCAACCGTCTGGTGATTGCTCGTCTTCCATCATCTCATCGTCACTCTGCGCATACGACTCGTCGACCAAGTCATGGATATGCGTCACTTCAGTCTCCCCTGTCTCAGCTGGTGGTTGATCAGGCAGTTGATCACCGTCCACTAAGTTAACACGAGGCCGGCCTGTGTCCCACGCGTCGATATGCTAGATGCCTATGTACGTTGTAAAGTAGCACCACCTTGTTGTGTCCGGTTACCCGGGTTGGTCTGGACCGGTAGTCGTTGTAGTTTAGAACAGCGGCTTGTATGTCCTGGTCCCGGTGGAATGTTCTGCTTACACGACCGACAACGAAAACATAGATTCGATGTAGGCGGTGTATACGGTTAGCGCGTGTATTCGCATCCGTACGTAAATACGAACGTAATCGTGAGTTCCCCGGAATCTGTTGTGGTCGCGAAAACTTTTCCTGACGATTTTCTTGTGCCTTATCAATGTTCAAACGAAATATATCACGCATCTTCTCATATGAATAGTCCCGCCAGAGTACCACGGTATTACGCTCCACCCGCAGCTTGACGTATATTGTTGAGCATCCCATGATTGCGGTATACCTGTAGAGGGTTCCCATACTGTCGTATTATCATGCTCTACTTTGCGTTCAAATTCACGAATCTGAGTATTAAGTGGTACCGTTGGTTTCAAGCTTCATGCACGCTAACACCTGTCTGTATGCATTATCCTCCAAATCCTGTTCTTGTTTGCATACAATAAAGGCAGTGGCGTCTTCAAATGAAATAGATTGTAATTTCTTCTAGTTCTCAACAATAAAACCCAATAGCACCTTACGAGCCCCTGCTTGCTGTAAAGCTCGGTGTAACCCCATTTGTATATGAATCGGTTCTAGTTTGTGGAAACGCGCATTCTTATGCCAGTCTGAGATAAATACATGCAATTGTATCTTCTGCGGGTTATCCAAATAATAGCTGCCCTATGGATTAGGCGGCCATTGCCTGTGGGTCTTTTAAGTAGCGATCGTAATGACTAGGAAAATGTTTGCACCATGCCATTGTATCAATAGGGACATTCGCAGTCTCCTGGCAATTCTCCTTTAACTCTTTTGGTGAGCGTGGGCAACTGTGACGTTGCAGCTTGTCACAAAATAAGTTCGCTACCACTTGACTTTAGTTAAGCTGTTGCCGCGGAGATTTTATAGCTCTGCGGAATACATCTAATGAACGCTTTGCCGACGGCGATAAATTTTGAGGAGTATCCATGTCCGAGTGCAAATCCGCTGGTTCATCGATTCCCGAGTCCGACTCGAATCGCAAAAGTAAGTTGGTATCATATCTGGGGTCGGAATTTCTTGTGCTCGATCTTGAGCGTGTCTCAACATCCGCTCTCTACGAGTAACGTGCGCATTATCGTACGCGAGTCACTTGATGTACGGTCTACGTGCGGTCAATTTTACGCTTCACTGGGCTAACTTGTTTCTTATTGATAGCCACGCTGCTAGGTAACTGGTCGGTTGTTGCTGTCTCGCCTGCGTTGGATATTGATGAATCTAAAGTGGTTGCGATGTTGGTCTTACCTGTTGCTCAAAGTGATCATCACCCGATGTTGTCTGCATCATGTCATTGGACGTAGATGTGTCGATATTCGCCATTGAAAATTCTCAAAGTTGTCGGAGTTGCTCACGAATGAGGTGAATAACTTCCGTGGCCTCCTGCACATGCGTCATTGTTCTCAAGTGTCCGTCCTGATCAGAAACCCATTCCGGATCTTGTTTAACCTTACACAAGATAGACATCGAATATTGGGCCTCCGCAACCAAACGGACCAGTGTCACGTGGATTTCTGCCTTCATTTCATCTTCGGGTGTCGGTTCCTTAGCAAATGCTGTTTCCACCTTAGTGCACTTTACGGGCAATCGGCGAAGAGCTTCAAGCAACCGTTTCAGCAGCCGGTCACAAGCATGCTGACCTATCTTAGGTATCGATATCGTACTGGGTCCCTTCATTACTGCAAGTAAAAATAAACTTAACCATATCGACTCCGAGCTAATTTAGTCTATAAAGAAAGTAGTATATTAAATGCAGTATTTCGGTCACTTAACAATGTGATCTAAACCGAGTAACGCTTAGTAAAGAGTGTTAAGTCTGAAATAAGTGAATTCAGTCAGAAGTGCCGTCATGAACGGCGCGTCTACTGTATTTATTAATCACGTTCCTATGTGGTGCGAGATTTCTCTAACAACGGGTGATTGTGAAAATACCCGTATCTATGGTTTTCGTCTCCTAGTTACTAAATTGTGATGACATCCGATGAGTCATCATTCTCTCTCACAAGTTTCTATATTCCACTTTCTGGTCCGGTCTCTCGGTCCGGTCCTGAAATAATCCCCTAGATCCGGTCCTCTGGTCCGGTCTAGGTCGGGCCCTCTGGTCCGGTTCTAAATCTCCGTCCAGGGTATTTTTTTCTCAGCAGTGCCTGACGATCTGCCGAAATGCTCTCTGGTGTTGGTAATGACAACGATACTCTCGGCTTCGTTTGTGGTGTTGTCACAGTACTGTCTGTTGTCGGCGTGAAGGTCTGTGTGATCGGTGAATCGTGTAGAGCCTCATGTACGAACTATGTATTCTGTCGCTGAGTATGAAGTACTCCTCCCAAACATACTCGCCTATTCGCCAGTGCGTCCTGATCATGAGGGGTTCGTTGCACTTGTTGCTGTTCGTTAATAAAATCCGTAAACAGCGGTATCTCCTTTAAGGAGACCGATGTCTCATTATCTAATAGTACAATTGGGGATTGATATCCTGTCCCTTTCATCCTCAGACAACTCCAGTGACTGCAAGCGCTTCAACCGGTGTTCGTATCTCTCGAGAAACTCCTACTACTGTCTCATCAACTGCTGTGTGTTGACTGTCGCTCCTGTCTTATTTACGACTGTCGACGGCGCTGTTTTGGGCATTTCAGTGGGCATTTCGTTTCTCGGTCTACTGCCTGTCTCGTCTCCTGCCTTCGAGCTTGCGTCACCTCGTTAGCTTGCCCCTCATGTGGCGGTGTGAGTGGAACACTCGTTTGCCGCTGATGGGTCAAGAATTCCTGTCGTAGGATCTCCTTGTTCGATTGTAATTCATCCGTCTGAGTTCTCGATATCCCTGAAGTACGTGGCGAGATTGAAGCATATTGGGGTTCACCCTGCTTCGATTCCTGGCGTTTAGTACGTCGTGGCTCCAAACCCTGACGCTCCCGCGTCTCTGGTGCCAGTTGTTGTTGACGCCGACTTTGGCGGATAGATGGCATGGTGGTCAATGATGTTCCTACTGTTATGTGCTTGACTGCAAATCGTAAAGTTGTGACCCTTTCCGTTGTCGGTCGCTTATACTTATACCACCTCTACTGTATGATATGGGTGTGTACTATCTTCACCAGTTTCTTTTATGCCGGGTTGTGCCTCATATCGTTTCGTGTTGGCTTCAATCCTATTCCTGCATCCGAGGCATACTCCCGTACCTCGTGCTTACTCTCGGCATCCAGACTTACTCTCATGTCGCGTGTCTACTCCTGTGGTTACTCTCGTAATTACTCTCGTACGCTCCTTCATTCTACTTCAAAGATACGTATGCTTCCCTGCTCGTCTAATCTGCACTGTTCTTGTCCTTCACCTACTCCATCCATCTTCTAAATATGAGCTATATTCGTTCTTGTTGATAGTCTCTATGGCCCTTGTAGTCCCATGCAACTGTCCTTCCATGTTACAAAAACCCTAAACCCTAAATTCTCCGTACCGTGCCTCATGTCTCTGTACCGTACCTCATGTTTCTCCGTACTGACAGCATTCTAAACGTATCTATCCTTGAGTTACATGTTCCTCCTAACAGTCTCGCAGATTATCCTGTACCTGGTTCACGAATCGTTCTGCACCCATGCTCCATTTCCATGTATGTGCTATTCCTAGGCGTCCATCTTCCATGTGCATGTATTCTTTGCGAGTACATATGTATGCACCCCTTACACTATGTATATCATATATGTTCTCCTTTCTGCCTTGTTAATATACTCTCTTAACATTTGACACATACACTGGTTAGTACTTAGTGACCCAAACTTCTTTTCTATCGGATACCATGTGTCACTCCATTGCATGTCGTCCTAAATTCGCTTCCCGTGTATTCGAAGTTTTCAGTGACTTACCAGCCTTATTACTTCTTGCTTACCTTATGTATTCATTCTTTGTCAGGATGCTTTATCGTTGTCTTCGGGACCTTCAACTCTCCCTGATCGTCTTCACTTGGAATATTTATATTTGCCAGCAACCTTGATGCATCATTTGTGTTACTTCCCATGTGTGTTCGACTTCCTCGCTTCGTGTCTGATTGATTCTCCAGTAACCTCGCCTGTTGTTGATCCTCTGTCTGCTCATCATCCACATAGGTTAACCATTATTTTTATTATGTTCTTTGTATTTGTATTAGTCATCGTCGTATCGCCTGATTTATATTTCAGTTTCATGGTCTTCCATGCTCCGTTGTTGGGGCCAAATCGTCTCTTCCTCTTGGCGACTCTACTTTTCATTCGCTGTCACTACTGTTCGATAAAAGTGATGGTATACTTGTTTCACTGCTGTACATCCCCCTATCAGACGACCCTTGCCCTAGATCGTCTATGCATCTTTCAATTATCGTCATGGGTAGATTCGACCAAACCATCAGTTCTTCTTCTGATATATCAACCAAAACATCGTCGTTTTAATCTGTACTAATATTGTACCTTTCTTTGGGTTCTTGTCTAGACTACTAGTATTTGAATCTCGAAGATATTCAATCCCTAACCAATCTCTATCAGCTAGTTAAACATGTAGCATAACACATTTCAAAAACTAAATCTCAACGTACTCCTCTCTACAGAGGTTAGTCGTTGGTTATTTATTGAATATCTTTGGTTCATAAAACCACGTGTTTAATTTCATCAGAAAACTTATCATTTAAAACCTAAACCTAGTTTACAAATGCTATCAAAAAAAAATCTAGTAGCCCTAATCCTATATTCCTGCCCACATCAGGAACAGGAATATCCTAACTCGGCCAGTGATGGGTTAATTGAAGTCGTAAAAAAAGGCCAATGCTCCGGAAATATTCACTTCCAGTAACCAAGTATACCCATCCGGAGAGGCTCAGTTCTCTTCAATACTCGACCGTAGGTCGTTCATCAAGGTGATGGATCGCAGGAGTACTTACTGCAATGTACAGTTGGGGAGCGTACCTAGATGCATGAATCAAACATCACCGATGCTAATGTTCTTACACTATACCGACAACGCATTCGGCGCAAGCGAAGACAATCAAGGCCGACGAAATCAACAGCAACGAGCACTGATGAACATCAGCGAGTCACAGGAAGCGCACGAGGCGGGGAACTTAGCCAAGTTCCACTGATACCAAGGGATACTCCCACAATTCTCACTTTTGAAGCATGTTCCGCCCACACGCCAGAGGGATAAAGACCAAAGACTCGGTAGTAGCGCCATCGTTGAGATACGTTTTCCTAAGCCAAGTTGAGATCACCCTAGACCACAGGTTAAGACAGACTCCGATGAGCGTAGTTTAGAACTCCCGTCATAGTATAATTAACTAGGTGATATGTAAGAATAGATAACGGTAACAGGTTTTTCATTTTATTAAGACCCCATAAGGTACTTTTTTTCCCTGTACAAAAATACCAACCTCTAGATAATCCAGAACTGTAAGATGTCACTTTCCATTCCTCGCAGGCTCAGAAGTATATAGTTAGGGGGTTATAGCATCTAGGGATCAGATCATCAGAAAGCCAATCCAACCCAAACCCAAAGAACCAACAAATACTAAGTTTTGGGTCCGGAATCATATACTCCTGATATTAGAGTCATCAGAAACGTTAGCGGTAGAACCAGTACGAAAAACCGGGTCTGCGCGTGTGAGAGAAACAGTCGAGTAGAAACCTGAGTCTAGTGAATTAGAAAACACAAATTAAAGACTCAGTCCAGTCCTCTCAGACTAGGAGCTTTCCATAAATGAGACAATCGTACTCGAAAAGGTTTCCTTTGGTTGTATTTTTCAACTACTCTTTATACAATATGAATATGTATATACTAGTTCCCTTTATATATATATATATATATATAT